ATAGTTGCCTGGATTGGTATAAATGTATTTACCCTGGTTGAAAATGATGTGGTTCATAAATTTCTAAAATATTAATAATTTGTAATCTTTCTGCGATGTTAAAATCGAAATTTTCTGAAACCATTTTATTAACCATTACAATTTTTGTCACTGGAGATTCTATTAATGTTAAAATTTGAATAAAAAGTCTAAATCTGTGCGGTTCAACGTATTAATTTTACTCATATAAGTATAACTGATGTCGTTAGTTCATAGAATTTTGACAAAAGTTGTTTGTATCATCTGTCCAGAAGTCTTTGCAGCGCTATATTCTTAAACTAGAGGTACTGTGAGCAATGAGCTCACTAAATGATACCCCCGCCTCCCAAATGGTCATAATGGCAAAGTCCATGTTTTGCTGTGGCCGGGAAACACATAATAGGTGTCGGATCAAAAAGTAAAATAAAACCTTCACAATGACATTATGTAATAAAGATTATGTGAAAGTTTCATTAAATTTCACTCAGTTGTACAAGAGGAGTTGCGGATAAGAGATTGGTACCACAAAGCTTAACAGACAGACGGACGGACGATTAGAAAACTTTTCGGGGGTTTAATAAATATAAAGTATATATAAAGATAAGTTTATTTATAATGCATGTTATATAATAATAATAATAACTAAAATATTCAAACCCAGGTGCAATAAGGCATCATCTCTGTCATATCTGAAAATTTCAGCGCTTGCATCGAGTTCCATTGGAAATTTCAACCGGAAGAACATTTTTAATAATTGTGTTATAGAAAAAGCTTGCCTTCTCGGCATTCACAGCCACTGAGCATTGAGGGTTTATTGTGTCAGCACCTACTGCCACATGGGACTTTGGTATCCCCGTCTCATCCGAACCACCGGTCTATACACCCCAGGGTGGGATTTGAACCCGCAACGTAGAGATAAAACTCCATACTTAACTTCTCTAGAGTAGACGCTTTAACAACTGTACCAAGCGTGCAAATTCTTTAGAGACAAATTACAAGATATTTTTTTAAAAAATAATGTTTTTTTCAGTGTTTCATCACTGACAAACAAGGAATGCTTAAATCTGTTTTAACTCTCAAAATATCTCGCTATATACATTTGAACATTTCACATTTCTTTGGTTTCTACATTTTAGTCATCTAAAGGGATCCAACCGGAATTTCATTCAAAGGAGACTAATTTTTTTGTTTGACGACTTAAAAAATATCATTGAAAGTGAGGAATACGACACAAACCTTAGACAATGCCTGGAGAAAGCATCTCCAGATTATATCACGTCTATTGCTAAGCGAAAGAAGGATATTCTTAAAGAAGATCATGGGATTGTTGTTGCAGGTAGAATTATTCTTTTAAATGTTACTTATTCATTTGCTTGTCTTGTTTAAAGTCATCATTTCGTAAGTTCTATGGTTGATGCAATGACCTTGTCAGCAAAACAATATCGATGTTTCATTTAATGAAATGCTAATTTGTAGTTCATTACTGTTACACTGAATAGACGACGGATTTTCCCGTTATTTCCCAATCATGACAAGGAGCACACGACGGGTAAGACCGGTCAGAAGAGGATGCTCACTCCTTCATGGCACATGATCCCACTTCTGATTTTTTTCTAGGCCCGTATTTGCTCTGCTTTTTTGTATTATTTATGGACTTCTGATCTTGAATTTTTATCGATATCTCCATCTGCGTCACGTGTTCAAATGGATTTGCCACACAAATATTAATATTTATTACATGAGAGCAATGTCTTGATAATACATTTACATGTAACCTATTATTTCTAGAAATTATTTTCAGGAGAGACAAGTGCCGGAAAATCAACTCTTATCAATAAAATATTAGGAATGCGAATTTTCAAGGGTAGAAACTTGGAGTCCACATCAACTGTTTGCAAAATACGAAATTCTGAAAAGGTGGTAATAAAAATTGAGTCAGACAATGGTGAGGTCGAGATGGAAGATATGAGTGACCTTGATGTAGAAACAAAACAAGGAGAGAAAATTCTTCGAGATACTTTGAAGACTCTTACAGATATGACTATTGAGAAAGGCAGTCGAAAGTATGAAAGTGTTGATATTGGATTGCCAGTTCATTTTTTGAAGGTATTTTTTTTTAAATTGAATCAATTCTTTTATTTTTCGATGATATGACACAATAAAATTACAATGTATATTAAACGAGGAAAAGGTATTTTATGAAATAACCAGCAGGTTATCCCATTCAGTCCGAATCAATGCATTGTTTATTATAAAACATCTCGCAGATATGGAATGAATTTCCAGAATTTAAATTTAGTCCAATTGTAACAAGATTTCAAATTAGCATATCTCAAAAACTCTTTTTAGTCTTCAAACTGACTACAATGCATCAAACATCTCATCTCATATATCAAATTAAGTTTTATGCTAATTTTCAAAATATATATGCAAAAAAATAGTTTCATTCTGCACTCTCTTTACAACGTCTTTGCTTCGAGGTTTGTATTAATCCTGACAGGAATTTGCAGTATGTATCAATGTTTACAGGACGGTGATGTTAAATTTTTTGTTAACTTATTGTGCTATTCTGTATCATTAGTCATATTGTTAAATATATCAATATTCGATGCAATAATCAAATTTATAATCCATTTATACATCAAAATCAGTAGCCTACTTAAAGCGACATTCTCCATCTTCCAGGGTAATACAATAATTGTTGATACACCTGGCATTGGTGGTTCTGGAAAGGTCAGTCAGAAAGTGATGAAATACTTGTCAAATGCAGTGTCTTTTATCTTCGTGATCAATGTGGCAAGTGCAGGCGGAATGCAAAGAGACAGGGTAATAAATCATATTACTGTTTATGAGATATTTGTATGCATTTGGGAGAGAAAAAAAAGAGACGACAAAACTGTAATTGTGTAATTTTGTTTAAATCTGAGCTAAATAGATGCTGTATATATCATGGAAGAATATATCAGTAGAAATAAAAAATCTGATACACGTGTATATTTTATTTGCAAATTTGCAAAACTAAGGAAACATTAATTGATTGGTTCTGTTTGAAAAAGTAATTGTTGGTATAAAATGAAAATACGTGAAATATGTTCAGCTTTATACCTTACTTAATTAATTTGACCCAACATAAAGTCTACAGTGGAGAAAATCAAATGTACATGTGTGTTTAAAACGAATAAAGTAACAAACCATATACAATGTAGTAATTTATTTCTTTTTTAATAAATTATAGCTTCCGGAAATACTAAAATCTATTATCAACTTACAAATGGAGGATGAAATGCCTTGTTTTGATCCCCGTAGTGTCATTTTTATAACAAACAAATGGGATTCAATCAAGAGAGACCCGGATGACAGCAGTGATGAAGATGAGGAAGAAAAAACTTGGAAGAAAGTAACAGGCAGCATTTATAGAAACTGGCCATCAATCAGGGAAGAGAATATTTTCAAAATGAATCTAACAGATGTAAGATATATCTTATCGATTTTTCTCATGTTGTTTTTATAAATTTTCAAGCTGAAGTTAAAACTGTAATTTGTTAGGAACTATTTATAATTACATGATATGAAAATTATCTCTAAAAATGCTATGGCTTTTTTTTTTTAAAAAATTGTCCTGTAAATGACGTCTAATACGGGAGATGGTCCTGTTTAGACATTGAAAATTTTCATAATCTAAGACGGCAGTGCACTTCTTTTTAGCTATAGTCTGAATTTCAATTAAAAATATACCTTTTCAGATAAGTTTAAGATTTAGGTTTAGCAACGAAGGCTGGACTTTATATTTTTCAAATCGGTGTACCTATATAGTTTGTCTGATAAATCAATTTTGCTAGAAACGTAATTCGTACGGATTTTGGGCATAATGTTTTTGCTACTTTATTTCAGCTCTGAGAATTGTTTTTTTTTTTTTTAATATTTTGTTACTAAAATTTAGTCAAATATTAAATAAGACAAATATTAACAAAAATGGTAAAGAAATGTATTTCTGACAATAACTGTAAATGGTATCATGTATTATGGGACATCCTGTATATCAGATTAAAAAATAAATGAAACACAATTTAAAGCGTTATTTCTCATTATCCTTTGAAAAAAAATTAAGTTCTGTTATTTTAATGCAGAATCGAAAGATATGGTTTATAAATAATGAAAAGCTTACATGTAATTCAAACATTATATTAAAGTGATATCACTGCAGAGTTTCGTAAATTTCGTTAGCATTTAAAAAAAGCTTTAGAGAAAGTGGTTAAGGAAAATGAAAACATTAGGATCAAGGAACATTTCAGGTAATTTACCATAATATTTTTTCTTGCAACCATTGTACAAGTATATCATATTTTCAAAGATTGTATAGCGATTTGTTATTGAGATGTTTCTGTAGCATGTTAATTGAAATATTACTGATATTTTCATATAAGATAAGAACGAAGTATGAGTCAGCCCCATCATGTTTGGTGATTTATCAATGTAAATGTTTAAAAGATGCAATCCAATAACTGCAATGGTGTGTGCAAACAAATTGAGTAACGTGCGTAATCGCGTTATAAAAAAAAATGTTTGCAAACACCATTATAGATACGAGACAGCATCTTTCAAAAAATGATTATTTAATGCTTATATTAACATTTTTATCTCCTGTATTTTCCGCAATTGTGATTTTTCTTTTTAAGAATATAAATACCACCTTATCCTTCATGTAAGTTACCATTGATAAAACAGCTTATTCCGAAAACGAAAATAATTATAGTGCACAATGATAACACAGATAACAATGATCAAAGTTTTATTTATTTTTTCAATTTAAAATGATAAACTTTATTTTTGCAACAGTGAAATACAAATAAATCGTATAACAGATATAATTGTTTCGATTAAACAGTAATGGCGTAGTCCTTGTATTCATACGCCAGACAGACTTTGGTTAATAGGTCCTGTGTGTTGTGTATATTTAACTTGTTATTTAATAATACTTTTCATTAGAGTCAAACAATATCAGTATATACATTTATTAATGCATTTAATTCCTTTTATATCATTTTACAATTTTGATAGAGTTATAAGCATTAATTTTACAATCTGTCTGGTGGTAAATTGGAATTCTGGTAGATAACAGTGCCGAAAAATAATTGTATTTTTTTCACTTTGGTTGAATTTTTTCTCACTTGGTAATTAATTCTTTAAAAACGTAACAGCTCGTCACCTATAAGTTTTAGTCTGATTGCAATAGACTAAATGTAAAGAGACTAAACATAGAAAAACAAATTAAATATATTGCAAATGCTCAAGTTCAAGTTTTACTTTTCTCCTGATAATAAAGACACCTAATTATTGTAAACCTTGATGAATGCAAAGTATGCTTTTTCAATATGTTGGTTGTATGCTGGTTTTGTTTTCAAAATATAGACTTAGCCACTATTGTAATAAATATTTCACTAGTAGGATTTATTTCAGAAGAGGTTAAAGCATGTTAGAATTCAGTAATATTTTTCATATGTTTCGTGCTATATTTTCAGATACCTTTGTACGCTGTTGGAAGATGTGTACACAGGAGTTCGCACAAGACAAGAACTGACAAACAGATCAAGAGAAGAACAAGAAAAGAAAACCGAAGAGCATCAAACGAAAATTGATATGCTAAAGAACAAATGCACAGCGGTACATGTATTGATTTTAATTATTTCATATAAAACCTGATCAAAGTGGTAAGAGCGTTAGACTCGAAGTAAGACATTGATCTTTAACGTCCCGGGTTCGAAACTTACTGTTTGACGTGGAGAACAGTCCTTTCGATGAGACCACATAACTGCGATCCCGTGTTATAGTAGGTGCTGGCACAAAAATATAACTCATTGCTCAATAGCTCTGATTGTCGAGGATAGGTTAACAATTTCCTCTCCACGTACAAGTTGTGGCATGTCCATATCAGTGAAAAATTCTCGAGATGGACGTTAAAAAACATGCAAAAAATGAATAAAGGAAAAACCTTTATTATAAGGAAGACAATGTCTCTCAAAATCAAATTCTTGAAACCAATCTCCTTTCACCTACCGTGACACTGAATACGTTTTAATTTCATCAGAAAACCAACATTTGTAAATTCTAAATAATGTCCATATGAGATGTTTCTATTACAATACACTGGGTGAAAAGTCCAGTTTCCGCAAAACTGAAACTATATGGAAACCTTGCTGAAACTTGGCGTTGAAGTTTCCTGTATGGTTTCCGCAATGCGGAAACTATATAATAGTTTCAGCAAGTTTCTGTAGGGTTTCCGTATGCTGAAACCATTAGGTTTGTTTCCAAATAGTTTCCGCAAAACGGAAACCAATGTAAAATTTAATGAAATGTCAATTTAACGATACTTTTTAGTTTCAGTAGGTTTCAGTTTCCGGAAACTATTGATTTCGATTCCATATGGTTTCCGCATGCTGAAACCGAACTGAAACTTTTTCTTTTCTTTTTTTTCAAATGGGTAAAAAAATCAATTCAAATGATTTTTTTACTATTGATTTCGATTCCATATGGTTTCCGCATGCTGAAACCGAACTGAATTTTTTTCTATTATTTTTTTTTTCGAAAGGGTTGAAAAATCAACTCATATTATCTTTACTATTGATTTTGATTCTGTATGGTTTTCGCATGCTGAAACCGAACTGAAACTGTTTTTTATTATATTTTTTTTCAAAAGAGTAGAAAAATCAACCCATATCATATTTTTATTTACTTATACATTTTAAAAAATGGTTTTATTTTTAAATATATCTACTAGTTCATATTCAGATTTTGAGATGTGCTCTGTGTAAACTGACACATACCGATATTGATATCAATGATAAGCACTTTATACAAGATCCTTGCTTCATATTAATTTATTTCATATTGTGCTGGAATTAAAAAAATATCATTTCTAAACAAAATCGATTCCTCTCACCAGGATTTTCTACATTACCCAACTCGAGACTCCCCCTCGGGAATTAATTCTTTTCATAACATACATTATTTTCACAAAATATTACTTCCGTATGAGAACAAATCAAGGGTTATATATGGAGGTTCCTCTGTCTACAATTACATTTAATGTTAATTTGTTTAAAAAAGAAAATTAGTGTGTCTTCATGGTGCATGAAATACAGATAATTACGAAAGCGAACGTTTACATTATCTGAGATAGCAAGTTTTGCATTTATATTCCTTATACTGTACATGTATCTATATTCCTGAATGGAAAATTATCATTTCAATAATTCAATTTGTTAACAACACATACTGACTAGGAAGCCTTTTTACTATTCAGTGTTCAACATAGAAATATAGTGCAATAGTTACTACATTGTAGTTGTTTTTATAATTTAATACATTGATTTAATATCTCGTACATATATGTATTTTTATCTCCGTTCTCATGAATACATTTTATTCGTTTAACAGGCGTTAATCTTATTCGAAAGCCGCGGGTAAATATTGCAAGAAAACATGTCCTGAACATTTGATGCCATGGTTCTTAAGATCTGCAGCATATTATGTCAATCTAATTAAAATTAAATCGTCTCATTTCACTGAAAAAAAATAATTAGTGAAATTCACTGGGAAGACTAGTAAATTTACTGTCCATACAATCACTACCTTAAAAGTAGTTTTACTGGGAATTGGGTAGATTTACTAGATAACATTAGTAAATCTAAGCATTCATAAGTAACTTTCACTAGGTATTTAAGTATCTTTACGACCACTACCCCACTTTTCACTATCTTAGGCTTAGCTAGTATACAGAGTGATTACTAATCACTGTCCATACAATCACTACCTTTAAAGTAGTTTAACTAGGTAATTCTCTCAGTGTTGTTACCCAAATGCTTATTCGCACGAGGAAGACTTATTAATGTAAAAAGTCTATTTTTGTGAAACAATACCCTGGGAGCGAATGGAAGATCTCATTTTAATTAGATTGCAAATTATGTGTAGGCTTTTTTATTTATTTATTTTTTCAAATATCTTGCTTTCGTGATGTTAATTAATGCAACATTACTGAAAACGCGGTACATATACTTTTTAGTAATATGTTCAATTATATTCGTATTGAGATGTATAATGTGCTAAATTTGTGATTTAGAAAACACTTTTTTTAAATAAAAGTAGTATGTAAGTTGATCAAATTTTCAATCCTTTTCTTTGAACCCCACTCGCGGGCACCTGTCCTCACGTGCCACAGGTGGGGAGACACGTGTCGCGAAGACACCTGCTACCGTGTTGGTGTATTTTTTGTATATTCTATGTGGATTGAGAGGTTTTTCTACCTTAGAGGAACAATGGGCTGTGACCAGGCGTAATATATACATGCAGTACATGATATACACAGTATAGTCACTAGTAATGACCCCAATGTGTCTGAACATTCAAATTTTTAAAATTGAAAAAAAAAATCCCACACACACTATATATATAAAACTTCACCAAAAATCAAACAAATAAGATTGTTTTATATAATATTTTATATAAAATGTTTCATATAAACTACATGTATTAAATTTATTATGTGTTGGTGATTAAAAGAAAAAAAAAAAAAAACCTCTCAGATATTTATCTATAGATCAATCTAATAAATAATATAACTAATCTACAGGTAAGGAGAATATTTGCTAGTTCAATAGACTATTTAGAAAATTTCAATATTATTTTACAATTTCTCCACAAAGAAATTGGCAATCACAAAAAAACGACAATTAATGGTATTCATTGTTTGCCACCATTGTATTAACTTCAAATATTGAAAATATTTAGAGATCGATGACACGCAACCTAATGAAAACAAACTTAAGTCCATGAATTTTATTTCATAACTTTTCTCTCTAGGTTATTTCTAAGTACACAATAAAACAACGTTTTGTTTCTAATTTAGAGTCCAAAACAAAAAAGTGTGAGGTTATTACAATAATAAGGAAAAGATAAAAAAAAAAAGATAAATACATTTGGTAAACAACAATATACATGATATATGTAAAGGACTATGACCACTATTACATGATATCATTTATAAATTTGTCCGCAAAATTAAGAGTTTCCGTATCTTCTGTATTGAGTAATAACCAATAATTTTTTGTTCATCGTCTAATGCTGAGAAGTAGCGGTATTTACTATTTTAAAATTGTACATGTAAATATTTTCTGAGATGGAAATTTTTAACAATTGGTTAATAATTCTAATAACTCCAATTTTGCTTTTGAGTTTCGCAAAGGTATAAAAAGCAATACCAGAGAGAGACAGAGACAGAGACTTATACAACACATTCTAATATAGTTTGTAATTTTTTTTCTTCGTTTTATTTAAGTTACGAAGGTCAAAATTAATCATTATATAATTCACTGTATAACAATGATTATAAACTTACATGCACTTTGTTAATTTATCTATTTTATTTTAGGACACAAATAAAAATGTATCCCGTAGATTAAGATTTTAAAAAACATATAAACATAAATTTGCAGACTTGTTATAAAGTTTTAACCAGCTAATTCGTATCGCTTACTAGAAAGGGGGGGGGGGTTAAAATCGCTCTTGTATGTGGATAATATGCCATCAGCATAACTTTGTTGACTTGTATACTTTTTTTTACACAATAATCTAAGTACATGTGTATATGATTTTCAATCTATTTGTAAAAATCTGGACAGTCCGTTTCAACAATTACCATAATCATGATAACCATGATAATAAGGGACTTAAAATACGGTTCAATTTTATCTAAGCATTTAAAACTGACATGTTCATTCAGTTGTCATAAATGCAAGGACGTCTGCAATATAAAACGTAAAAAAAAATATTGCCAAAAGAGAAATGCAAAAACTAAGGGGAATTTTCCGTAGAGACTGACATTCAATCACTAGGTGGCGTATCGAGATAGAATGCTTCTCTCTCATTGGTTAGATTTTTAGTAGAAGAAAGAGGGAGAAAATGGCGAAGAAAACACCAAGAACTTGCTCAAGAAAAACAACAGAGATGAGAAGGTCTTTTGACTCTACACAGAAGAAAGGCACCTCAAACGACAGATTAGATACAGGTAGTTATTTCTTACAGTTCAGAGCACCTTTATTTTTGTTTTTATCGTCTGCAATCGTAAGAATAAAGTTGGGTCAAAACGGCGCGTTCCAAAAATTCAAATCGACCATTGTACAGTTATTATTTTTTTGAAAAAGCGCCTTGTAAATCATTCTCAGCTTAGATTGTAATACGTATAATTAATTGCTGTTAAAACGGCCGCATGCATTTTGTACCATTGTATTTATCTTGCATGTTTTCGTATGATTATTAGAATGTGTTTTTCTGCATCGTCCCGATCATGTTAAAAAAAAATACGTGTTGTAGTATTCCGGAATTTTAAATGTAGGTTGGTTTTAGAGGATAATATCGTTATGAACTTGTATCCGGTGTTTACTTTTTCGGAAAATCGAAAGATTTGCCCCCACGCTTATGTTCTTTCAGAAAAGGTGAGGTTTGTTGTTCATTATAACTGCTGGATGTGTTCATTGTTATTCGCAGGAGTAGTTTCTTGAACCCTACATTTATTTTTTGCTGAATTGTTTTTATTATTGATGGAAGACTGTGCTGCACAGCCGAGGAAGGGGTTGAATATATTTTTAACATACATGCAGTCTATAATC